TCTAATTTATTGAGCTTAATTTTATGTGGGGAAAAACCCAACTCATGCCATCGGAGTTATGGAAATTATTGCGACAAGCATCAGATATGCAATAATAAAATACAAGTGTAATTATGTTCAGTTGTTCTCTGAGAAGGTTCGCAATAGTTTTAGGCTATTAAACTTTAATGGATTCATTTGCATTTTTGTCAACAGTGGCAAAATTAATTAAATATTTCACAAAGTTTCTTTTGGCTTTTAAATGAATGTTGTGGTATAACATAAAAATGTACAGCTTAAATTAAACATACAAGGGAACATACCATGAGGAAAATCAATTAACAGTAGAACCGTTATATTTCACTTTTAAATCATGCCTGATTTCTTGCTGTAATTTTGCTATAGTGCATGAAGCTCCAGCACACATTTCTGGATTGTGACTCTTATATTTCGCACACAGAATGGAATAGGTTGGTTTTGTAAGTGATAGATGTCACAAAAGCACTGAGCTGTCGCTAGTCCTTGCAATGGTTTTGCTTCTACCTTTGGACAGGATTTAGACATACAAAGTTCAAAGCAGCCAATGGAACAGTGGCGTATGTCTGAAAAGCAACCGAGCTATACACAGGATGTGTTGAATTTATGCATCAGAATTGCAGAAAATAAATCCTGAAATTACAACAGCAGCTTTTCATAAACAAAATAACTTCCAAAAGTTTGAGGACCACATTTCACACCAATTTACCTTACATTTATTCCTTTATACGGTTTCAGGGCAAAAAATGAGAAGTGCAATTTATTTATTTTTTTTGCATTTTGCAAAATGGGAACAACAAGAAATGAGAAAATTACAGTTCACATCAGAGTATGTTAACATTTGCATTCATCTCCTGATGGAATAAATTGAGGGGAGATTTCAGGGCATGGTTTCAAGTATGGCAGTGTCCCAGCAAAGAGGCTTATAAAGGTTAGATATGATAAATAGTAATTATCTTATTATTCAGTGTTGTTCTTATTTTTTATATGGGAATGAAAAGTGTTTTGAAGTACTCCGGGGCTAGTTGTCACACTTTTTAATCATATTGCTCAGGATAGGTTTATTTTTTTTAATTAAATTTCTAGACAGGTATGTACCTTTAAGTCTTGACTTCATAACAAGTTATTGAACATTTCCAGCTAAAAAAAAAAAAAACACATTCACATTTGTAACAACATGCCCTACTAAGATTTTACTATAAAAGGTTTATCAGCTAAAAAAGAGAAATTGTAAAAAGCAATGTGTCACATATCAAATCATTGTAGCAAGTGAAATGCATGACAAATTGCCTTAATATAAAAAAAAATAATAATAACAAAAAATAAATAAAAATATGAAAGAAAAAAAAAGAATACAATCTTAATGATCAGGAAAAATTCAATAAATTAATCAAAAGTGAGAATGAAGACATTTATAATGCTATAAAAGAGTTCTATTCCAAATACATGCTGTTTATAAATATTAAATACTGTAAAATATATTAATCAGCACAACTATTTTCAACATTGATAATAATAAGAAATGTTTCTTGAGCACCAAATCAGCATATTAGAATGATTTCTGAAGGATCACATGACACTAAACGTTACACTAAACTATGACTGACGTTAAATTCAGCTATGCCATTTTAAGAATAAATTACATTTTAAAACATATTGAAATAGAAAGCATTAAGCAGTTCTTTTAAACTATAATACACTCTAAAAAAAATGCTGGGTCGTTTCAACCCAACTTTGGGTCAAATATGGACTAACCCAGCTGTTGGGTTAAATTTTTAACTCAAAGGTTGGGTTAGTCCACATTTGACCCAAAGTTGGGTTAAACAACCCAGCATTTTTTTAGAGTGTACTATTTCACAATATTTGTGTTTTTACTGTATTTGTGATCAAATAAATGCAAATGAGCATAAGAAAACTTTTGAACAGTAGTGTATTCTAAATGTATAGTCAACTCTTGCGTAAATGTTTGCAATTGTGTAGAGCAAAAATATATTATTGCAATTTTAGTTGGGAGGAAAGCGTTCACAAAATTATCCTTATTTAAGAGGTGTTTGAACAAGGTGTTCAATGCAATATAT